GTTAGGGTTAAGGTGGTCTGAGTAAGATGGTTAAGGTTAGGGTTAAGGTGGTCTGAGTAAGATGGTTAAGGTTAGGGTTAAGGTGGTCTGAGTCAGATGGTTAAGGTTATGGTTAAGGTGGTCTGAGTAAGATGGTTAAGGTTAGGGTTAAGGTGGTCTGAGTAAGATGGTTAAGGTTAGGGTTAAGGTGGTCTGAGTAAGATGGTTAAGGTTAGGGTTAAGGTGGTCTGAGTAAGATGGTTAAGGTTAGGGTTAAGGTGGTCTGAGTCAGATGGTTAAGGTTAGGGTTAAGGTGGTCTGAGTAAGATGGTTAAGGTTAGGGTTAAGGTGGTCTGAGTCAGATGGTTAAGGTTAGGGTTAAGGTGGTCTGAGTAAGATGGTTAAGGTTAGGGTTAAGGTGGTCTGAGTAAGATGGTTAAGGTTAGGGTTAAGGTGGTCTGAGTAAGATGGTTAAGGTTAGGGTTAAGGTGGTTTGAGTAAGATGGTTAAGGTTAGGGTTAAGGTGGTCTGAGTAAGATGGTTAAGGTTAGGGTTAAGGTGGTCTGAGTAAGATGGTTAAGGTTAGGGTTAAGGTGGTCTGAGTAAGATGGTTAAGGTTAGGGTTAAGGTGGTCTGAGTAAGATGGTTAAGGTCAGGGTTAAGGTGGTCTGAGTAAGATGGTTAAGGTTAGGGTTAAGGTGGTCTGAGTAAGATGGTTAAGGTTAGGGTTAAGGTGGTCTGAGTAAGATGGTTAAGGTGGTCTGAGTAAGATGGTTAAGGTTAAGGTTAAGGTGGTCTGAGTAAGATGGTTAAGGTTATGGTTAAGGTGGTCTGAGTAAGATGGTTAAGGTTAGGGTTAAGGTGGTCTGAGTAAGATGGTTAAGGTTAGGGTTAAGGTGGTCTGAGTCAGATGGTTAAGGTTAGGGTTAAGGTGGTCTGAGTAAGATGGTTAAGGTTAGGGTTAAGGTGGTCTGAGTAAGATGGTTAAGGTTATGGTTAAGGTGGTCTGAGTAAGATGGTTAAGGTTAGGGTTAAGGTGGTCTGAGTAAGATGGTTAAGGTTAGGGTTAAGGTGGTCTGAGTAAGATGGTTAAGGTTAGGGTTAAGGTGGTCTGAGTAAGATGGTTAAGGTTAGGGTTAAGGTGGTCTGAGTAAGATGGTTAAGGTTAGGGTTAAGGTGGTCTGAGTAAGATGGTTAAGGTTAGGGTTAAGGTGGTCTGAGTAAGATGGTTAAGGTTAGGGTTAAGGTGGTCTGAGTAAGATGGTTAAGGTCAGGGTTAAGGTGGTCTGAGTAAGATGGTTAAGGTTAGGGTTAAGGTGGTCTGAGTAAGATGGTTAAGGTTAGGGTTAAGGTGGTCTGAGTAAGATGGTTAAGGTGGTCTGAGTAAGATGGTTAAGGTTAAGGTTAAGGTGGTCTGAGTAAGATGGTTAAGGTTAGGGTTAAGGTGGTCTGAGTAAGATGGTTAAGGTTAGGGTTAAGGTGGTCTGAGTAAGATGGTTAAGGTTAGGGTTAAGGTGGTCTGAGTAAGATGGTTAAGGTTAGGGTTAAGGTGGTCTGAGTAAGATGGTTAAGGTTAGGGTTAAGGTGGTCTGAGTCAGATGGTTAAGGTTATGGTTAAGGTGGTCTGAGTAAGATGGTTAAGGTTAGGGTTAAGGTGGTCTGAGTAAGATGGTTAAGGTTAGGGTTAAGGTGGTCTGAGTAAGATGGTTAAGGTTAGGGTTAAGGTGGTCTGAGTAAGATGGTTAAGGTTAGGGTTAAGGTGGTCTGAGTCAGATGGTTAAGGTTAGGGTTAAGGTGGTCTGAGTAAGATGGTTAAGGTTAGGGTTAAGGTGGTCTGAGTCAGATGGTTAAGGTTATGGTTAAGGTGGTCTGAGTAAGATGGTTAAGGTTAGGGTTAAGGTGGTCTGAGTAAGATGGTTAAGGTTAGGGTTAAGGTGGTCTGAGTAAGATGGTTAAGGTTAGGGTTAAGGTGGTCTGAGTAAGATGGTTAAGGTTAGGGTTAAGGTGGTCTGAGTAAGATGGTTAAGGTTAGGGTTAAGGTGGTCTGAGTAAGATGGTTAAGGTTAGGGTTAAGGTGGTCTGAGTAAGATGGTTAAGGTTAGGGTTAAGGTGGTCTGAGTAAGATGGTTAAGGTCAGGGTTAAGGTGGTCTGAGTAAGATGGTTAAGGTTAGGGTTAAGGTGGTCTGAGTAAGATGGTTAAGGTTAGGGTTAAGGTGGTCTGAGTAAGATGGTTAAGGTGGTCTGAGTAAGATGGTTAAGGTTAAGGTTAAGGTGGTCTGAGTAAGATGGTTAAGGTTAGGGTTAAGGTGGTCTGAGTAAGATGGTTAAGGTTAGGGTTAAGGTGGTCTGAGTAAGATGGTTAAGGTTAGGGTTAAGGTGGTCTGAGTAAGATGGTTAAGGTTAGGGTTAAGGTGGTCTGAGTAAGATGGTTAAGGTTAGGGTTAAGGTGGTCTGAGTCAGATGGTTAAGGTTATGGTTAAGGTGGTCTGAGTAAGATGGTTAAGGTTAGGGTTAAGGTGGTCTGAGTAAGATGGTTAAGGTTAGGGTTAAGGTGGTCTGAGTAAGATGGTTAAGGTTAGGGTTAAGGTGGTCTGAGTAAGATGGTTAAGGTTAGGGTTAAGGTATATGATCTAGTGCTGACCATGGAAACAGGGCTATAGCAGTATATTTTGCTGGAGGATTTCTCAGTCTGAAAATAGCCCAGTTTCCTTGGTCTAATTAGGCGGCGGGATGTTCCAAACCCAGACGCCGTTTGTTCTGTCCCTTAGACGAGCTTTGGAGAAGCACGTTTACATCTGCACAGAGCGAGACGTGTCTGCACCGAACAATCTCTACTCTTTCACTGTTTCAGTCCCAGAGACTCAGATGGATGTACAGTGCCTTGCGAAAGTATTCGGCCCTCTTGAACCTTTCAACATTTCGCCACATTTCAGGCTTCAAACATAAAGATATAAAAATTAAATGTTTTGTCGAGAATCAACAACAAGTGGGACACAATCGTGAAGTGGAACAAAATTTATTGGATAATTTAAACTTTTTTAACAAATAAAAAACTGAAAAGTGGGGCGTGCAATATTATTCGGCCCCCTTGCGCTAATACTTTGTAGCGCCACCTTTTGCTGCAATTACAGCTGCAAGTTGCTTGGGGTACGTCTCTATCAGTTTTGCACATCGAGAGACTGGAATTCTTGCCCATTCTTCCTTGCAAAACAGCTCGAGCTCAGTGAGGTTGGATGGAGAGCGTTTGTGAACAGCAGTCTTCAGGTCTTTCCACAGATTCTCGATTGGATTCAGGTCTGGACTTTGACTTGGCCGTTCTAACACCTGGATACGTTTATTTGTGAACCATTCCATTGTAGATTTGGCTTTATGTTTTGGATCATTGTCCTGTTGGAAGATAAATCTCCGTCCCAGTCTCAGGTCTTTAGCGGACTCCAACAGATTTTCTTCCAGAATGGTCCTGTATTTGGCTCCATCCATCTTCCCATCAATTTTAGCCATCGTCCCTGTCCCTGCTGAAGAAAAGCAGGCCCAAAGCATGATGCTGCCACCACCATGTTTGACAGTGGGGATGGTGTGTTCAGGGTGATGAGCTCTGTTGCTTTTACGCCAAGCATATCCTTTTGCATTGTGGCCAAAATGTTTTGGCTTCATCTGACCAGAGCACCTTCTTCCACATGTTTGGTGTGTCTCCCAGGTGGCTTGTGGCAAACTTTAAACAAGACTTTAATGGATATCTTTGAGAAATGGCTTTCTTCTTGCCACTCTTCCATAAAGGCCAGATTTGTGCAGTGCACGACTGATTGTTGTCCTATGGACAGACTCTCCCACCTCAGCTGTAGTTATCTGCAGTTCATCCAGAGTGATCATGGGCCTCTTGGCTGCATCTCTGATCAGTCTTCTCCTTGTTTGAGATGAAAGTTTGGAGGGACGGCCGGGTCTTGGTAGATTTGCAGTGGTCTGATACTCCTTCCATTTCAATATAATTTCTTGCACAGTGCTCCTTGAGATGTTTAAAGCTTGGGAAATCTTTTTGTATCCAAATCCGGCTTTAAACTTCTCCACAACAGTATCTCGGACCTGCCTGGTGTGTTCCTTTGTCTTCATGGTTCTCTCTGTGCTTTAAACAGAACCCTGAGACTATCAAAGAGCAGGTGCATTTATACGGAGACTTGATTACACACAGGTGCATTCTATTTATCATCATCAGTCATTTAGGACAACATTGGATCATTCAAAGATCCTCACTGAACTTCTGGACTGAGTTTGCTGCACTGAAAGTAAAGGGGCCCAATAATATTGCACGCCCCACGTTTCAGTTTTTTATTTGTTAAAAAAGTTTAAATTATCCAATACATTTCGTTCCACTTCACGATTGTGTCCCACTTGTTGTTGATTCATGACAAAAAATTAAAATGTTATATCTTTATGTTTGAAGCCTGAAATGTGGCTAAATGTTGAAAGGTTCAAGGGGGCCGAATACTTTCGCAAGGCACTGTATATTTTAGCTCAGAGTCTCCCAAAGTGGAGTTGCCGCGGGGGTACTGTGTGTCAGTTTCCTTGAAGTAAACCTTCACGTCTAATTTATTTGACTGGTCGCATAATGGTCCTTTGAAAACTGTTGTGTCCAGGAAGTCTATACTGTGGGGGCTAACTATGTGTTTAAGTTTAATCGAGGGGTCAATTGAGTTCAAATGGTTTATAAATTCCTCGAATTCTTTTTCAGAGTGGGTCCAGATACCAAAGATATCGTCCAGATACCTGTAATATGCCAGAGGTTTGTTTGGACACGAGTTTAAGGCCCTCTCCTCCCATTCTGCCATGAATATATTGGCATAGGAGGGGCAAAGCGTTTGCCCATGGCAGTCCCTTTGATTTGTAGATAAAATTGTCCATCAAATTCAAAGTCATTACGTGTCAGTTGATGTCAAGGAGCTGGAGGAGTTCTGAGTCTGGTCTGGTAGGGTCTGGGTATTTGGTCATCATGTTCCTGACTGCCTGGATTCCTGCTGGGATGTCAATGTTGGTGTACAGTGAGTCTACGTCCATAGTAAAGAGGAATGGTTTTTTGGGGTTGTTATGTTTTTAACTAATTCAATGAAGTGGTATGTGTCTTTCAGATAAGACGGGTGTCTGGTCGACAGGGGGTGGAGGTGGTGTTCCAGGTACTGAGCCGTCCCATACGTCTCGCTGGAACAGTCAGAGACGATGGGACGGCCCGGTGGGATCTGGAAGGGGATGGTCCATTTCTGAGGCTCTTTGTGAATCTTGGGCAGTATGTAAAAGAGCCTGGCCCTCGGCTCTTCGCTCCCTCTCAGGTACTCCTTTTGTTTTTGGTCTATGTATTTTTTTGTTTTTAGTGAGTCCAGGATTTTGTCTACTAGGGGTATTGTTTCCAAATAGATGGGGGAGTCTAATTTCGTGTAGTAGGTGGTGTCATTTAGTTGTCTGTGAACTTCAATTGTGTACTGGTCCCTGTCCAATATGACCGTAGCACTGCCCTTATCCGCAGGTTTGATAACAATGTTTTTGTTGTTAGTCAGCTCCTTCAGGGCTTCCTTTTCCTCCTGAGTGAGGTTCTGTTTGACTGTGGTTCTTCTGTGATTTTTTTCTTCTAATTCTTTTAGGTCTGCTTTAATCAAAAAAGGCATTTCTGGAGGGAGGAGTTCCTGTGGAGGGAACCACTCTGAGGTCCCTCTGAAAGGCCTGGACTGGGACGTGTCTCCACTATTTTTGAAGTAGAGTAGGAGTTTCAATCTCCTATGGTAATTTTGAAGGTCTAATTTTAATTGTTCTCTCTGATTCTTTTGTAGGTCTAGTGTGGGGATAAAACTGAGACCTCTTTTCAGTAGGTGGAGTTGTACCTCTGAGGGCTGAAATGTTTTTGAAAGAACAATTACATTCTGGGTTTCCTTTTTAGTTTCCAGCCCCCTTGTGCTTAAGCTTGTGGGGCTTTGGCGTTTAAAAAGGAGACCCAGTGTTTGAAGATTGCCTCGGCCGTGGGTCTGGTCCAGTGGACATTGTCTGCCTTTGTGGCAAAGGTACGTGTGTGGGATAGCCGGGATAGTGTTCCCTCCCTTCAATGTGGCTCATTCAAATGTGTTATGTTCTCTTGTTGGTTGCGTGGCAGGTTCTTGGAGAAGTTAATTGAGGGGATCCAGACCTCTGCATAAGGAAAGCGTGATTTGGCTGCATAGAGAGCTGCCTGCATTTGACTCACAGCAGGCCCCTTATCCCTCTGTTCCCTGTGATTAATCCCAAAGGACAACAGTACTTTCTCCACTCTGGTGTACTGGATTGCACCTGCCAGGAAGGATGCCGCATGACTGAAGTTCCCCCCAGGGAAGCAGTCAATTTGTAGGTCTGCGATGGAGTGATTTGGGAAGCCCCTGATGTGTAAAAAATATAAAAAACAAAAAAAGTAGACAGACTGTAATATTAAAGTCATTACGCACCCTGCTTTAGAAGGCCTGTGATGTAGGGGTGTGACGATATATCGATTTTTCAATATATCACGATACTTTCTCCCGCGATTCGATTATCGATATGCATTTGCCAAGTATCTATATCAATTTTGAAAAAAATAAAAAAAAGGAGCCTTGCGGAGTTTGCAATTTTTGTGCTCACGAACCCCCCTCTGGCCAGAAGTGTAACTGCAGTCTGATTGAGAGGCGCGTGCACGAGGAACAGAACATAAACAGCTGATATGGTCCTGTCCTCGATAAGTTACAGATTTGCGGGATGACTTCAACAGAGGTAAGACATGTTACTGTTTTGTATGATATTTAGACCAAATCAATGTGTATATTTTCCAAAATGTGATACTTCAGCAAATGTAAAGAAAAGTGAATTATCAAAAGCCTGAAGCCACATTATATTCAGCAGCAAGATGAGGAAGAGGAGCAGCAAGATGAGGAAGAGGAGCAGCCAGAGGAGGAAGAGGAGCAGCCAGAGGAGGAAGAGGAGCAGCCAGAGGAGGAAGAGGAGCAGCCAGAGGAGGAAGAGGAGCAGAAAGAAGAGGAAGAGGAGCAGCAAGATGAGGAAGAGGAGCAGCAAGATGAGGAAGAGGAGCAGCCAGAGGAGGAAGAGGAGCAGCCAGAGGAGGAAGAGGAGCAGCAAGAAGAGGAAGAGGAGCAGCAAGAGGAGGAAGAGGAGCAGCAAGATGAGGAAGAGGAGCAGCCAGAGGAGGAAGAGAGCAGCCAGAAGAGGAAGAGGAGCAGCAAGATGAGGAAGAGGAGCAGCAAGATGAGGAAGAGGAGCAGCCAGAGGAGGAAGAGGAGCAGCCAGAGGAGGAAGAGGAGCAGCAAGAAGAGGAAGAGGAGTAGCAAGATGAGGAAGAGGAGCAGCCAGAGGAGGAAGAGGAGCAGCAAGAGGAGGAAGAGGAGCAGCCAGAGGAGGAAGAGGAGTAGCCAGAGGAGGAAGAGGAGCAGCCAGAAGAGGAAGAGGAGCAGCCAGAGGAGGAGGAGGAGCAGCAAGAGGAGGAAGAGGAGCAGCCAGAGGAGGAAGAGGAGCAGCAAGAAGAGGAAGAGGAGCAGCCAGAGGAGGAAGAGGAGCAGACAGAGGAGGAAGAGGAGCAGCAAGAAGAGGAAGAGGAGCAGGAAGAGGAGCAGCCAGAGGAGGAAGAGGAGCAGCCAGAGGAGGAAGAGGAGCAGCCAGAAGAGGAAGAGGAGCAGCCAGAGGAGGAAGGAAGAGGAGCAGCCAGAGGAGGAGGAGGAGCAGCAAGAGGAGGAAGAGGAGCAGCCAGAGGAGGAAGAGGAGCAGCCAGAGGAGGAAGAGGAGCAGCAAGAAGAGGAAGAGGAGCAGCAAGAGGAGGAAGAGGAGCAGCCAGAGGAGGAAGAGGAGAAGCCAGAGGAGGAAGAGGAGCAGCCAGAGGAGGAAGAGGAGCAGCCAGAGGAGGAAGAGGAGCAGCAAGAAGAGGAAGAGGAGCAGCCAGAAGAGGAAGAGGAGCAGCAAGATGAGGAAGAGGAGCAGCCAGAGGAGGAAGAGGGAGATAGGAGCAGCAAGAAGAGGAAGAGGAGCAGCAAGAAGAGGAAGAGGAGCAGCCAGAGGAGGAAGAGGAGCAGCCAGAGGAGGAAGAGGAGCAGCCAGAGGAGGAAGAGAGCAGCCAGAGGAGGAAGAGGAGCAGCAAGAAGAGGAAGAGGAGCAGCCAGAGGAGGAAAGAGGAGCAGCCCAGAGGAGGAAGAGGAGCAGCCAGAGGAGGAAGAGGAGCAGCCAGAAGAGGAAGAGGAGCAGCCAGAGGACTGAAGGAAGAGGAGCAGCCAGAGGAGGAGGAGGAGCAGCAAGAGGAGGAAGAGGAGCAGCCAGAGGAGGAAGAGGAGCAGCCAGAGGAGGAAGAGGAGCAGCCGAGAGGAGGAAGAGGAGCAGCAAGAAGAGGAAGAGGAGCAGCAAGAGGAGGGACGAGGAGCAGGCAGAGGAGGTAAGAAGGATCAAGCCAGAGGAGGAAGAGGAGAGCCAGAGAGGTATTTATGAGGAAAAGCCAGAAGAGAAGAGGGTGGAAGCAAGGATGAAGAGGAGCAGAGAGAGGAAGAGAGCAGCATGAAGAGGAAGAGGAGCAGCCCAGAGGAGGAAGAGGAGCAGCCAGAGTAGGAAGGTAGCAGCCAGAGGAGGAAGAGGAGCAGCCATGAGGAGAAGAGGAGCATGAGGAAGAGGAAGAGGAGAGAGGTATTTATGAAGCAAGAGAGAGGTATTTATGAAGCAAGAGGAGGAAGAGGAGAGAGGTATTTATGAAGCAAGAGGAGGAAGAGGAGAGAGGTATTTATGAAGCAAGAGGAGGAAGAGGAGAGAGGTATTTATGAAGCAAGAGGAGGAAGAGGAGAGAGGTATTTATGAAGCGAGAGGAGGGAAGAGGAAGCGAGAGGTATTTATGAAGCGAGAGGAGGAAGAGGAGAGAGGTATTTATGAAGCGAGAGGAGGAAGAGGAGAGAGGTATTTATGAAGCAAGAGGAGGGAAGAGGAGAGAGGTATTTATGAAGCAAGAGGAGGAAGAGGAGAGAGGTATTTATGAAGCAAGAGGAGGAAGAGGAGAGAGGTATTTATGAAGCAAGAGGAGGAAGAGGAGAGAGGTATTTATGAAGCAAGAGGAGGAAGAGGAGAGAGGTATTTATGAAGCAAGAGGAGGAAGAGGAGAGAGGGTATTTATGAAGCAAGAGGAGGAAGAGTGGTAGAGGAGAGAGGTATTTACTGAAGCAAGAGGAGGAAGAGGAGAGAGGTATTTATGAAGCAAGAGGAGGAAGAGGCGAGAGAGGTATTTATGAAGCAAGAGGAGGAAGAGGAGAGAGGTATTTATGAAGCAAGAGGAGGAAGAGGAGAGAGGTATTTATGAAGCAAGAGGAGGAAGAGGAGAGAGGTATTTATGAAGCAAGAGGAGGAAGAGGAGAGAGGTATTTATGAAGCAAGAGGAGGAAGAGGAGAGAGGTATTTATGAAGCAAGAGGAGGAAGAGGAGAGAGGTATTTATGAAGCAAGAGGAGGAAGAGGAGAGAGGTATTTTATGAAGCAAGAGGAGGAAGAGGAGAGAGGTATTTATGAAGCAAGAGGAGGAAGAGGAGAGAGGTATTTATGAAGCAAGAGGAGGAAGAGGAGAGAGGTATTTATGAAGCAAGAGGAGGAAGTTAGGAGTTTATGAAGCAAGAGAAGGAAGAGAGAGAGATTTAGAGGAGAGAGGTATTTATGAAGCAAGAGAAGAGGAGAGAAGAGAGGAGAGAGGTATGTATGAAGAAGAGGAGGAAGAGGAGAGAGGTATTTATGAAGCAAGAGGAGGAGAGAGAAGAGAGAGGAGGTATTTATGAAGCGAGAGGAGGAGAGGAGAGAGAGGTATTTATGAAGCAAGAGGAGGAAGAGGAGAGAGGTATTTATGAAGCGAGAGGAGGAAGAGGAGAGAGGTATTTATGAAGCAAGAGGAGGAAGAGGAGAGAGGTATTTATGAAGCAGAGGAGGAAGAGGAGAGAGGTATTTATGAAGCAAGAGGAGGAAGAGGAGAGAGGTATTTATGAAGCGAGAGGAGGAAGAGGAGAGAGGTATTTATGAAGCAGAGGAGGAAGAGGAGAGAGGTATTTATGAAGCGAGAGGAGGAAGAGGAGAGAGGTATTTATGAAGCAAGAGGAGGAAGAGGAGAGAGGTATTATGAAGCAAGAGGAGGAGAGAGGAGAGAGGTATTTATGAAGCAAGAGGAGGAAGAGGAGAGAGGTATTTATGAAGCAAGAGGAGGAAGAGGAGAGAGGTATTTATGAAGCAAGAGGAGGAAGAGGAGAGAGGTATTTATGAAGCGAGAGGAGGAAGAGGAGAGAGGTATTTATGAAGCGAGAGGAGGAAGAGGAGAGAGGTATTTATGAAGCGAGAGGAGGAAGAGGAGAGAGGTATTTATGAAGCAAGAGGAGGAAGAGGAGAGAGGTATTTATGAAGCAAGAGGAGGAAGAGGAGAGAGGTATTTATGAAGCAAGAGAAGGAAGAGGAGAGAGGTATTTATGAAGCAAGAGGAGGAAGAGGAGAGAGGTATGTATGAAGCAAGAGGAGGAAGAGGAGAGAGGTATTTATGAAGCAAGAGGAGGAAGAGGAGAGAGGTATTTATGAAGCAAGAGGAGGAAGAGGAGAGAGGTATTTATGAAGCAAGAGGAGGAAGAGGAGAGAGGTATTTATGAAGCAAGAGGAGGAAGAGAAGAGAGGTATTTATGAAGCAAGAGGAGGAAGAGGAGAGAGGTATTTATGAAGCAAGAGGAGGAAGAGGAGAGAGGTATTTATGAAGCAAGAGGAGGAAGAGGAGAGAGGTATTTATGAAGCAAGAGGAGGAAGAGGAGAGAGGTATTTATGAAGCAAGAGGAGGAAGAGGAGAGAGGTATGTATGAAGCAAGAGGAGGAAGAGGAGAGAGGTATTTATGAAGCAAGAGGAGGAAGAGGAGAGAGGTATTTATGAAGCAAGAGGAGGAAGAGGAGAGAGGTATTTATGAAGCAAGAGGAGGAAGAGGAGAGAGGTATTTATGAAGCAAGAGGAGGAAGAGAAGAGAGGTATTTATGAAGCAAGAGGAGGAAGAGGAGAGAGGTATTTATGAAGCAAGAGGAGGAAGAGGAGAGAGGTATTTATGAAGCAAGAGGAGGAAGAGGAGAGAGGTATTTATGAAGCAAGAGGAGGAAGAGGAGAGAGGTATTTATGAAGCAAGAGGAGGAAGAGGAGAGAGGTATTTATGAAGCAAGAGGAGGAAGAGGAGAGAGGTATTTATGAAGCGAGAGGAGGAAGAGGAGAGAGGTATTTATGAAGCAAGAGGAGGAAGAGGAGAGAGGTATTTATGAAGCAAGAGGAGGAAGAGGAGAGAGGTATTTATGAAGCAAGAGGAGGAAGAGGAGAGAGGTATTTATGAAGCAAGAGAAGGAAGAGGAGAGAGGTATTTATGAAGCAAGAGGAGGAAGAGGAGAGAGGTATTTATGAAGCAAGAGGAGGAAGAGGAGAGAGGTATTTATGAAGCAAGAGGAGGAAGAGGAGAGAGGTATTTATGAAGCAAGAGGAGGAAGAGGAGAGAGGTATTTATGAAGCAAGAGGAGGAAGAGGAGAGAGGTATTTATGAAGCAAGAGGAGGAAGAGGAGAGAGGTATGTATGAAGCAAGAGGAGGAAGAGGAGAGAGGTATTTATGAAGCAAGAGAAGGAGAAGATAAGAACAGACATGAAAGAAAATGACAAACCACATGAAAGGATAAAAACCTCCTTTATCCATGTGTGAAGTGGGAAACAGCTCAAACGGCAGAATAATGGGTTTTTCTTTAACCGTTTTTAACCAGGAAAGTCCCATTGAGATTTAGAACCTTCCTCGATAGAGGTAGTCTGGTCTTACCACACCATGGTACTCAGTTCATTTCATTATAAGGTCTGGATCTGCTCCTTTGACTCTGTTAACAGGTGGGAGGGGCTAACTCCTTTTGCAGATTGAAACCATTGGATCTGAGTTTACTGTGACGTATGTGATGAGCCCGAGGGTGTTGTTAGCATTTAGCCTAGCTTCAGCATGTAGCCTAGCTTTAGCATGTAGCCTAGCTTTAGCATGTAGCCTAGCTTTAGCCATCTCCTTTGCCGCTAACAGAGCCCGTGGGGAGTAGAGCCACAACATCTTTGCTTCAAATACATTTACTAAACATTCCTCTTGCTCCGGCTTCAGTTTCTTGATATTTGGATTGAACCAGAACAGATTATTTTACTATCGCATTCTCCGACAAACTACAACCAGCAAATTCAGCACAAACTCTTGACGTCACCGACACCGACCTACAACACCCGCCTCCCCCGCTCTCTGATTGGTCAGATTCAACCGAGGAAACTGCAGCCACTAGGATCAGACCCAGACGTACATGTAGGAGATGATCATGGACCAGAGTTTACACATGGTAAGACCAGACGTACATGTAGGAGATGATCATGGACCAGAGTTTACACATGGTAAGACCAGACGTACATGTAGGAAATGATCATGGACCAGAGTTTACACATGGTAAGACCAGACGTACATGTAGGAAATGATCATGGACCAGAGTTTACACATGGTAAGACCAGACGTACATGTAGGAAATGACCATGGACCAGAGTTTACACATGGTAAGACCAGACGTACATGTAGGAAATGACCATGGACCGGAGTTTACACATGGTAAGACCAGACGTACATGTAGGAAATGATCATGGACCAGAGTTTACACATGGTAAGACCAGACGTACATGTAGGAAATGATCATGGACCAGAGTTTACACATGGTAAGACCAGACGTACATGTAGGAAATGACCATGGACCAGAGTTTACACATGGTAAGACCAGACGTACATGTAGGAAATGACCATGGACCGGAGTTTACACATGGTAAGACCAGACGTACATGTAGGAAATGATCATGGACCAGAGTTTACACATGGTAAGACCAGACGTACATGTAGGAAATGATCATGGACCAGAGTTTACACATGGTAAGACCAGACGTACATGTAGGAAATGATCATGGACCAGAGTTTACACATGGTAAGACCAGACGTACATGTAGGAAATGACCATGGACCAGAGTTTACACATGGTAAGACCAGACGTACATGTAGGAAATGATCATGGACCAGAGTTTACACATGGTAAGACCAGATTCTGTAGATCCAGGACGCAGGCCATTTCTCATTCTACAAACATATGAAGTGCAGTTCATAGTATGTTATTGTGTTAGTTCTATAAGACAGGATAAGACAGGATAGACTTTATTATTCTCACACTGGAGAAATGTAATA